ACAGCAGCAGCAGCAGCAGCAGAAGAGGAAGAAGCAGCAGCAGCAGCAGAAGAAGAAGAAGCAGTAGCAGCAGAAGTAGAAGCGACAATGAGAACGAGAAAGGCCGAAGCGCAGCGAAATCAAAACAAACAAAGTACAACGCGGCATATGGCAGACCTCGTGCTCAGGCCCATGAAAACCCCTCCTGAACCCCCTCCCCGCCCACCGCAGATTCGTACTCTCTCTCCGCGGGAGCATCTTTATTGTCGTGGCACCGCTGGTTGCATTGAGCGAACTTTCCACTTCCTGATGGCGTAAAGCTTCTGCGTCAGAGCTTTTTCATTCACAAAAATTCACGGGGAGAGATGCCAGATCACAATAAGGATATGCCAGGGCTTAGCTAACAATATTGTGATATTTTGGGGGAACAGGAATATTTATCTAATCCTTTTGAAGTTACATTTGAATGGAATACTCTGCGTATGAGTGATAATATTATAACGTATACGTATAAGAACTTTAAATAAATCGTTAAAATTAGATTCTTTTAAAAAGTTTCTTTTCTTTGAAGTGTCTGAGATAATAAAAAGCTTAAAGCTGTAGGTACATTTTAATAAAGGATTCAGTACTCCCTAAAAAGCATTTTTGGCTGTATGAAAATTATGAAAGTAGGTATAGAAAGCTTTACTTCCATTTATAGTTAGCTTTGCGAGCTAAAATCTGAACTATATATTATATACTTACCTACAAATAAAGTGATTAAATAAATAATACACACCTTTTAAATTGTATATTCTGGTTTTGTCTTTATTGAGTTTTTTTTTTGTTTTTGCCTGTTAAGTAGAATAGAATTATTAAAATTGTTTTATATTCGTTTCGTTTTCGTCTGGTTTTTCTTTCCGATTGCACAGATTTGCGTGTTAGTTAATGGAATTAGTTTTGCATTTGATTTTTAACTTGCGTTTTCAGATTGGTTTGGGTAGTGGTGTTACCCTAATACTTGTCACCTTGCCCACCGGAGTGTTCTATTTAATCGTGTCTCAAGGTTGCTTGGTATAAACAGTTTTATAGTTTACCTCTTGGAAATTTATAGTCAATAAGTTTAATTACAATTTAGAGCTTAGAAATTACAGTTCATATATAGAGTCAGTTGTTGTCCTATGGGTGAAGTTCGGTTTCTCGTTTTGATTAGGTGACCTTGCATTGCTATAGTTATGTCTGCTGCCCATTTTGGTAGGTAAAGCTTTGGATATTTCGTATTTCGATACTCAATATATATTGTTTAACATTTTGCTTGCTTAAAATTAGAACAGTTTTGGTATATTCTGAATCGATGTTTCAGAGCACTGTAGCTGCTGTGTTTGTTCTTCCTTTGGAAATGCGCATCTCTTACGCAGTCCACAACAAATGCGTTTGCAAAAAACCCGGAAATTGTGTTCAGTGTATGTGGTGTAGGAGTGTTTGTTTAGTGGCAGATCAAAGAAATAGTTGTATACTTTTTGGCTGGCAAGAAAAAGTTCACTTCAATTAATTGAAAATAAAAGAGCAAAACTAATCATTAAAATATATACAACTTATTTTATGGTAGACAAAAATACATAAATGATAAAACCTAAATAACCTTGCCAGCCTTAACTATTACTTAACTTTTTACAATTATTTTATTTTCTAGGCTCAGTAATTTCTAGTGAATATCCGTATATACCATTTATAATTGGAGTTCATTCAAGGCCTACGTTTGCATTTTACGCTTTTAATCAATGACAAGACTAACATTTCAAAGTACCGAATTATTCAGTCGAAGAAAACATTAATACGGTTACAGGATTATTTGCGGGGTTCGGTTATTTCGTAGACATTCAGTGCAAATCCGAATCGAATCGAGAAGGATATATGCGTGCAGGAACGGACCTTCTACTTTTGCCTTTCTTATAGGTACACACGGTTATGGTATATTGGACATCAAGAATAACTTGCATATTCGCTATATATATGTATATATATATTTTTAGGCTTTCTTCATTACGATGAAATCTCTTAGTAGGTGGTTTTAGTGCATACATTCAATGTATAACTTGTTAAATTCTTATCGGATTATAGTGGGGCATATCTCTCGGATCGGGGAGTTTCCGGTTCCAGTTCCAGTTTCCGTTTCCGTTTCGGATCCTTGGCAAGCCGCTGGCCGTACTTAATCTACTAATCAACTTGACTTGTGGAGCTCAGGGATCTCGAACCGCAGCAAGGAAGTCAAGATCCCGATGCAGTGGAAGGATAGCATATCCTTGGGGGCCGAATCGGGGCGGGGGATGACTAAGCTGTGTGTCTGTGAGAATGTAAGCCAATCCAGGAATTTTGGTAAAAAGAAAACGACAATTTTGGTTTTTGTTTCGAGGTTTTTAAAATGTTTGTGTATTTTTTTTCAAAGAAATTTCTGTATGTTCTTGTTTGTTTCGCTTGTTAATGCTCATAGTTTTTCTTCTTCGGTTTTCGCAATTTTTACAATATTCGTAAATTTAACTTGTATATAGCTTTATTTATATATATATATATATTTATATATAATTTTTGCATATATAGATTGAGGCGCGAGTTCTTTGTTTTGTTTCTTTGCCTTTCGAAATATTGTAATTTGCTAAACACTTTTAGCATATTCTAACAAGTTTGTTTTTGGTTTTTTGCTTTCCATTTCTTTGACTGCCTTCTGCTATGCAAACGAAGATAAATATTTATGCAAGTTTTGGTTTGAAAATCGAGAACTCAGTGAATCCAGCCTCCAATGCCACAACTGACGCACTTCAGCAACCAATTTGAATTGGAAATGCTCTATCATTTGACATTCTTGAAACGGGAAGATTTTCGAGAGCCCACTTTCGAGGGAAAGTGGCCTTTGGAAAAGCAGTTTTCATTTTCGGTTAGATTTTGCTTGTTTAGATTTAGAAAAATTCGTCTGTGTCATTTGATTAGAGTTAAATTTTCCTGCAATTCATTTAGATTTCAATATAGGTTCATTTCTTTAAAACATTGCACAAATTTCGCTACAAAATGTTTCTCTTTTTTTGTTTTGTTTGTTAAAAAAAGTTATAGAAAAGTTTTTTGTTTTGTTTTTTTTTTTTTTGGTAATTTTTCATATCATTAGCGCAAATGGTGTTTTTGTTCAAATTTTCTCGTTGCCCTTCAGAGCGTTGTGTCCAAAGTCAAGCGAACAAAAAGAATTATAAAACTCGACTTAAATGTTATAACGTTGAAAGCACGCAGAGTTGTTGCCTTCGAGTTCCTGCCTTTTTAAGTTATACTCACAGTTGATTTATGCAGTGGAGGAGAGTTAGAGTTAGCATGGGAAAGATTAGATTAGATGGCGTGAGGTGTGGGTGGGATGGGGTCGGATGTGTATGGATAGTAGATCGGTAAGAAGACATCACGACGAGATCGTTACAGTTGAGAAAAAAGGAAACAGGACTTTCGATATGAAATTAAATTAAAACCAGTACGGTACAGTTAACATGTTAATACACATTGGTCGCGCAGACTTTCATTTAACTAGGCAGCAGTGGACATAGAGGAAAAGATAGTCTGTTAGTTAGCAAGTTAGTTAGTTGGTTAGTTAGACAGAGAGATAGTTGGGTGTTGGAGACAGAGCGGATGGGTTGTTTGGTTAAAGCTTGCGGTTGCTGTGGTGCCAGGAATTGCAGTTGTTGTTGTTGTTGTTGCTCTAACTTCAACTTAAACCATTATGTTCATATATTAATTTATGTTACGCTTAGCTAGCTCTCTTTTGCTTTTGCCTAAACTTTGCTTTTACGTTTACGCCTCGAATCCACGCTTGATTTGCTTACATTTAAGACAATTGTCTTTGCATTTAGCTAGTTTAATTCATATGTATAATTTATTTATAAATATATATGTATATATATTGTTTTAATATATATAACTGTTCCGATGCCGAACTGCTGATGCTTCTACATCGTCTCCTGTTGTTAAGAGTTGTCTTCTTCTTCTTTCGCGGGAGCCTCCTGCGGTGTTGCTGCTGCTCCTCCATACTTCGTCCTTTTCCTTTTTTATATGTGTGTGTTTGATGAAATCTTCTCCTTGCTTCTTCGTCCAGCTCTTCCTCCGCTTCGTCTCGCATATAAATATTTAATTTTATATTTCTTTATAATAAAATTATATTACTTTCGATTTGGTTTTCCCTTTGCTTTAAGTACATTAGGTATTTATATGTATATATATATAGAGTTCCTTCATATTTATATTTGTAATAGTAATATTTCGGTTTACTGGTTTTGCTGCCGCTTAATTGCTAGAGAAATGTGTTGCTGTTGTGTTCTTGTGGCGTTTGCATTGTTAAATGTTAAATCTGCTCATATATGTATACATATATATATATATAGATTCAGATCGCCGTGTGGTGTTGCTTAAGTTTGCTACAAATCGTGCCGACAAATCAGCTGCCTATCAAGGACCTTTGGACTGCGGTCCTGCTGGTCCTCGTACAGCCCCCAAAAATATGCCTCATCTTCTGCTGCGCGCCACATTTTTGGTTTTTAATTTAATTTTATATCGAAAATGTATTTGTAGTTGGTTTCTTTTTGTTTTTTTGTAATTTTTATTTGTTTTATTTTTTCTTTATATTTATTAATTTTAAATTTAAATATAATTTAATAAGAAGAATTTGTTGTTGTTTGATTTTACATTATTTATAATATATATATGTTGTATTTATAATATATTTTACTTCTTGTTTTTCTGACATGTCTGTGTGTGGTAGTAGGTGTAAATGTATGTGTTTTTTGTGTGGGTGTGTGGGGGGTGTGGTGTGTGTATGAGAGTGTGTCTGCGTGTAGAGTGTCTATATAAACTTTGCCAGTTTGCAAAAATTTCAAATATTTTCTTTAACAGTTTTTGTTTTATTTGTATTTTTATTTGTTGTTTGTTTAGCTTTTATTTTTATTCATTCTCGCAACGAAATTGACAAATTTTTTCTTTTTACTTTAAACACAATTTTTCTAGCTTACAGATTCGGGTTTTCTTATTTTTTTTAAGTGGAAAACTTTTAAACAAAATGCAGCCGCTGCGCGCCGCCGTCGCCAGGTGGCGCGCTGCCCATTATTCGGTGCGCCATCTATCGGCAATACTGGTGGATGCTGCTGCTTCTTGCTTCTCCCTCTGCTCGCTTTTCTTCTTGCTCCTCAATTTGTTTAAGTGTAGTGATAGACTTGTTGTTGTTGTTATTCAGAAGATAAAATGCGATTCTTGTTTGTTGCTGCTGGTTGTTGTTGTTGTTGTTTGTGGTTTTAAACGGTGACTTCATTAAGTATGCTGTTTGGTTGTTTTTTGTTGCATTAAAATTATGTTTTTTTTTTCGTTTAACCTTTTCTCTCAGTTTAATGTAATTCTTTCTTTCTGAATCTGTTGTTTCGTTTTTTGCTTGTTTAAATTTTCATTTGCTTTTGCTTTGTTTTTTAAGTGTAAGTTTCATTTGTTTTAAATTTTCTTAAATGTTTTTTGCATCTTATTCTTCTTTAAGTTGGTTGTTTTTTGCTTAACTCTTTGTTGTTGTTTTTTTTTAAGATCTTTTACTGGGGTCCATAGCAACAGCGTGGCGCGATGTTATTGCGCACAGCTACAGTCTTCGTCAACATCTTAAAAAAATAGAAAGGCTTAAAAAGAAATAATTTAACGCTTCACTTCGATGTCATCATAGTCACGAATTCTGCAAAGAAAAAAAGAGAAATTGCATTAGTACAAAGATAAAAAGTGACTTTTTCATTAAGATAAGCTATCAGAGAGGCTACAGTGTATCTTTTTTAATGTATCTTTTTTAGTTTAAAATACTCTCACAACCACTTGGTAGAAACTCAAGTCAATGAGTTGACACAAAAAAAAAATTCACACAACAAATCAAGTATCGAAAATAGCTGAGCGCTGTCATTAACCTTCTACTAAATTAAGACGGCAATTAATCAATAGCAAACGAGCATTACACCATGGCTACAACAACAACGGCCAGCTAATCAATAAGACAAACGAGCAAGTCACGAGATGTCTGATGAAAACACTTTGCCGCACAAACACACAAAATCACACACAGCCGAAGAAGAAGAAGAAGAAGAAGACTGCTCGCCAAGGAAAATTTATTGAGTGCAAAGACTCAGACAGTCAATCGCCAGAGATTATGTACTCTCTTCAGTGTTCCTCGTCCAAAAATAGAAGGCAGCGACGGAAGCAGAGTGCAATAAAGACGTTGCCTCTGGCCGTATTGTTCGCGAATTGATGGGGAAAAACCAGAAACGAGTCCCGACTAGGAAGTACCCATTATCTACAACCTTTCTACAACATAATTTGCATACCTAATGGGCGTTTTTAAGTGGTTATGCCAAGCACTAGTATAAATTAATGCTTTTAGTGATCATAATTTATGATAGCCTTTTAAAGAGTTCTTAAAGGAAGGACCTATCTTGCACAAACTCATTATACCCTTCATCCAATACAGAATTCTGCATCATCGACTCAATCAATAAGGGAGAAAAGCGAGAAGGGAAGTAGAGTATCACAGCCACCAGATGAGCACGAGGACGGGTTCCTCCTCCTGGTCGTGTGTTGGTGTCCCCAATTTATCAGGTGTTTGCCTGTTTCTATTTTTAAAGGGAGAAAAGCATTCTCTGCCACTGCTGCATCTGTTTTTGTTGATTGCACTTCCTCGCCTCCCGGTTTTCACAGCTGCCTACGGTGATTGCATTTTTGAAATATTTAAGCCAGAAGACAGGAGAGGGTCGCCAAAAGAAACATACAGGAAAGGCAAATTGAGTGGGCGTGTAATTGGGTGGATTTTCCTGAGACCAATGGTCAAACAAAAACAAATCTGTTATTATAAACTTAAAAAAAAAATGTTTCCTGCCTAAGCAAAAATGTAAAGTACAAAATACAATCTAAATTGTCATAGTTTTATGTCACTTTTAAACTCACGCACTTTAACCAATCTTATCGCTTTTCTTGGTTGGCTTATAAAAAAAATGTCTGGCCCTGGAAAAAGCTTATCAAACGCCTCAAACAATTGATTGCTATCAAGCATTCGGGAAATTTAGTCAGATATTTATAGGAATTGTTATTCGACTAGCAGCAGCAATCAAATTGTCGAACACACCTTTTGATAATAAAACTAAAACCTTTTGGGGGTCGTAAAGGGCTTAAAAGAAGAATGTTATTAGCCAAAGTTCAGGCAACGCCCGGAAAAGGGCTAAGCCGTATGCAAAACAACTGCCCAGAGTCGAAACCCCCCGTTGGGACGACCTTGACATTTGCCCACATGCAAAACGCTCGCCGTTCGCTCTTTTGATTAAATCTTCGTCCTAAAACATCACTGCCCTCAGTTGGGCCACGCCTATAAGCTGACCAGTTACTTGCACTGAGAAAAAAATAAAGCTTATTTAAGTTATCGGAAAAAAAATTGTTGGAGGTGAATCTTACTATTCAATTTTTAAATAAAATGTATTTCCTTTTTAAATCTTTTTTTTTTAGTGTCTAAGATTTGCCTAAATGGTTACTAATGACATTTTCTGGGTTGGATCTTCCCTATTTTGGATAAGACAATTAAAATGAAATTAAGCCCGATCGCTTTCCAGCTGCCTTGGCCAACAAATTATATATTTAGCGAATTTTCGTACATTTTGGTTTAGAATTGCCCACCTTTCCCTTGATTTAGCCACAAAACCCCCGTTCATTACGTCGTTTTGGCGTTTTTGTGGTTGTTCTGCTGTTTATCTTTCGTCGCTTTGTTTACATTCGCCAAACTTACTTGTTCTATCTTCGCTAAGGTCTCTCCTCACTTTTTTTTTCTTTCTTTTCTTTTTTTTTTTTTTTTTTGCTACTTTTGGAATTTATCTTTGGTGCTCTCTCGCTCGCTCACACACATTGTGGGATGTGTTCATTTAATTTGCTCTGCCCCCTGCGCTAATGTTTAATTTGTTGTTCTTTGTATTTTGTTTAACATTTTATTTGATTTTCGACTCGTGTTCTCCTGGCCCTCGAACAGCGTTTTTCTACCTGGCACTCGGCCAAAGTAAGTCTCATCCCATTCTCATTCCCGTTCGCCAATATCTTTTTTCTCTGCATATTCATTGTTTGCGCCATATAATTTTCACTTGCAAAATTACCGAGAGGAATGGCGCAAGAAGTGGGGCAGTGTTTCGGGGGAGGCGGTGTATGAGGGGGCGGGGTTATACCCGGCACACTGCAGAGCCGGCAAGACAACAATAAAGACTTTGGTTAATTGGCAATAAGCAAAATGGCAACAGTGCGCATTTTATATTTACGTTATGCTGATTCTGCTGACTGAAAAAAAAAAAAACACGACCAAGCAAGCGAGTGAGATTCATTCGCTCGGTCAATGTTCATGCCACCATCACCATCCACCCAATTTTGCGGGGAAATTAACGAATATTGCACAATATTTATATATTTTATTTTTTAATTGTTCTTTCCCATTCGCACTGTTGCCGTGCGCCGCGATCTCTTCTGTTTGCGAGCTGATTTCTGTTCGGTTTGCCCCGGCAGGTTAATCATTTAAGTGTGGAATTTACGCGCGACATTTATTTTGGCTTTTAAAAACATTTCAATTTCGGCGGCAGGAAAGTGGCGAAAGGCATAAAAAACGCTGATTGGGAGCAGGCGCAGGAAAATTATAAATGCCAAGTGATATATGGCCTGCGAATGATGGTGCCACATATGTTTTAAAATTCATCTTAAGCTATTTGTCTCCAATTATTGATTCTTCTTTAGGTTATTTTTTTATAATAACCAGGAAATCGAACATTTAAACTTATCACATGATTTGAAACTACTTGAGGTTTCTGCTAAATCCACTTTTCACAAAAACTATTAGATTCTACTATCAGACAGTTTGGAGTACGGGTATTATGAAGAGCACTTCCTTATTATCAACTAATCCTGCTGTCCTAACCCTTCTTTATCAATGTTTGCTTTCAAGAAATGTATTCTTCATTTCACTATTAGCAAGCACGTTCAGATAATGATCATTACTCTTGATCATCGTTCTTCTGTTGCCTTTTGTTTAAACTTTTCGCTATTTTTATGTATTTTGTTCATAAATTACTTGTGATTAATCTATTTGATCCGAGAAATGCTTGTAGCGGCGGCCAAAAACGATTTCTATTTGAACTTGAAGATCAACACATACATTTATATAGGAATAGTGCTATGTATATATGTTTGTAGGGGAAAATACTGTCCGATTTTAATTGCTACTTTTGCCGGCCTCAACAAAAGGAAATTTCGAAAAGAGCCAAAACTGTGGGAGGATATGCTCAAGGCGTTTCCATTCTATTGAAAACTTGCGAGGATTTTCTTTTCTGCGCCTTCCCAAATTTGTTTCATTTTCTGTTTTATTGTTGTAGCAATGGCGATTGTTTTTCTCACTCTTTTCGCCGCCGGCCTGCTGTTTGCCCAATCGAAAAATCAATTTTCAAGCAATTAAAAAATTACGAAGAACACAAAACACGAAAATGTTCAAATAAAAATGCACTGCACATGGCGAGAGATATTTGTTTTCCATCTCTACATCTCTACAGAGCACACATTCAGTTATATAGTTGTTTCTGAAAATAAGCATTACTATAATGAGTGAGTCAGGGAGAGGCGCGGATGGATCAGGTGAATTAGCAGAGCCATATGACACAGCCAGCCAGCCAGCCAGAGTGTCAATTGTGACTCAAGTGTGATGCCAGTGATTCAATCATTGCGGCCTGTTGTTTAGCTTAGTCGCTTGGCAGGTGCAACATCAGACAGATCCAATTAGTGCCCGAACACGCTACCCACAAAAACGCTAAAATATCGAGCCATTACAGCTTAAATAGCGCTGGGCGACACCTTACGAAATCGGCTTTGGGTAAATTCCAATATTTCATCAACTAAGTAGAAGGTGATTTGTTCTCTATAAGGTTATGTGCATATCTTTCTTGGGAAACCTATCAGGTCCTCTATTTTCAGACCAGGATAATGTGTTTCAAAGAAGTACTCAAAACCAAACCTATAATGATTCCATTGAAAAGATGTCTTGATAAATTAAAAAACCTTTTCGCCGTAATACATATAAACTCACCTTCGTAATTGACCTGACCGTCACCATCGATATCAGCCTCACGGATCATCTCGTCGACCTCCTCGTCTGTGAGCTTCTCGCCCAGATTTGTCATCACGTGACGCAACTCGGCCGCCGAGATGAAGCCGTTGCCGTCCTTGTCGAACACTCTGAAGGCTTCCCGGATCTCCTCTTCGCTATCGGTGTCCTTCATTTTGCGTGCCATCATTGTAAGGAATTCTGGGAAGTCAATTGTGCCGTTGCCTGTGGTGCGGTAAAGCAAAAGGAATAACAATTAATTTCGTTGCATACTTTGTGGGTCGGGATTTTGGGGATTCCACCGACGACGCCAATCTCACTCTTCCCGCCATCAATTTAAATTCTTTCCCGGGGCGTTATAATAAATTCCAGTCGGGGATAAAGGCACCCAGCATTTCTCTTCATTATGGCCAAGTTTAAACCCCCACTTTTTCCCTTCCCTCTTCTCCAGCCATAAAACGAAAACCCTGGGGCTGTGTACACTACTTAAAGCTCTCGCCTCGTGTTGCCTTTTCGACGCTAAATCCCTGGGAGGTGGTATATAATCGAGCATATTTTCATATTTGCCTAAGCCCCAAACAAACTTTCCTACGGCGAATGGCACACACACGTGTGTGGTTGTGCGGTGTGTGGGCCACCCACCTTGTGGAGTGTGGCAGATAAGTCCGCCTAATCCCATTTCTGTTGAATCACTCTCTTTTTTTTTTTTTATCTCGCTCCTTTATCGCCCGGCTCAGCCGAGTAGAATGAAAATTTGTTAAAGAATTTAGCCAAACATTTTCCTCTGAGGTTGTCCTTACCAAAAAGAAAATGAAAAACGCAAATTAAGTGCTCTAACCGAAATTCTTGTTATACTAATTGAAAAAGTTTCCTTCGGTTTAAGCTTCGACTTGGTTTTAACTTGAAATAGTTTTTATTTCGGGGGGACGCCACATAAATGGCAGCAACAACTTTTGGCCTTAATTGTTATTGACTGACTTTTTCCCAGCCATCCACAGCATCACGGCCAAAAGCAAAAGAGCCTTTTGTCCATAAAATGGAACAGTATAAAATGTTTTTCAGTTTTCTGTTTGCTACCCTCAAAACCAAATGGAGCGTGGTTCATTGTAGCTATCATTTTGTTTCTTCTTGTGAATTGAATGTGTTTTTTATTACTTTGCTGGAAATGGGTTTTCTCCGGAGAAAACTTTCGGTATATGATTGCTAAAAAACGCAAAGGTTCAAGCTCTTTTCAACTTTCGCACAAAATGTTTTCCTCTCAGGCCAATTTAGATTTAATGAAAGATATAACATGTCAAAAACTTCGGCAACCCGAGTTGCAAAAGTTACACAAAATAAAAATAAATGAACTAGGCACCCATCACCCCTTAACATAATCGACACAATACCAAATAAAATGTTCCTTCTTTATGGCTTTCAAAATATTTCGTTTATAAAAAGCAAAAATCCCAATGGACGATTTAATTGAAATAAAATAAATAAATAAAATCGGCGCTCACATTTAAATACACACAAAAATCTGGAGGCGATTCCATTGCCAAATGATTTCCATTCAATCCGTTAATTTGCGAGAAAAAAATCAATTAAACTTTGGTCTAAATTAAGTATTATTATTATTATTCAATATGGCCGCAATGAAAGCCAAAAATATGTTTCGAAAATAGCCAAAAGAACATCAAATAATGTATCGACGGGTGGCTATAGTTCATTCCGATCTGTGTTGCGATTTCGGTTTCGGTTGTTTGGTTGCTTGTTGTCTTGCCTCCGTTTCTGTTTATGATTCTATTTAAAACATTTGACGCGATTTTCTGTTGCTTTTGGCTTTGTCGATAGGATTTCCCCAACCAGACCCAAAAAAAAAAAAAAATAAAGCAAATACCAAGGAAAGCCTCCACACACACAAAATCGGAATGGGGGACAGACAAATCATTGAGAAATTTGTTGCCATTTTGGTTAGACGCTTCTTAGACTTTCCCGAAAAGACTTTTGACGAACCCGCACACACAGTCCAATTATGATGATGTTCATCATTGTTCATAATGAAGATAACGATGATGATGGCCAGTGTCTGGCTGGGTTTTTGGTTTCCATTACGTGTTCCTGCCAATCCCCTCTACCCCTTCCCCCTCATCACTCCACCATTGCCGATTCGCAACGATGCCCCCAAAATTTTGCAGACAATTTAAAATTTTAATAAGTTTTTTTTTTATTTTTCGCGCGCACTGGCATCGCTAAATTTAGTTTTGGGGCAATTTCTATTTGTCTTCTATACAGTTTGGATTTATTTGCCACTGAGACCATATTGGGTGATAATATACTTTATTTCTAGTCAAGTTATCCTTACAAATCCATATATTTACTCCAATAAAGTTTCCCCCTTTTAAAACTAGCTATTTATCACACCTTTTCTTTTTGAAAAATGTTATTTATACCGCTGGACAATTCGACTGGCCCCTTCCCCCCTCCTTTTAACCAACTAAACAACTAATGCGGTCGTTTGCATGCAGCTCAGAAAACACTGGCAGTTTGGCCATCGTCAACTGGCTGCGACGGAGACGCCAACAAAATTTCAAGTAATGAATGTTTAATGTTTCCGTCAGATTCCTGTTCGCCTTTTTGGCCAACGTGAGTGAGTGGGCCATGTGTGTGGGTGAGATTCTGGTTGCCAAGTTAGTCTCGGCCAGAAAATGCATTCCTTGGTGGAATCGTAAATTAGAGGAGTCAGCTGCGGGGAACAACCAACTTAACTTTCCGCTCGCTTGCAACAATTTTATCAAGTCTTTTCAAAAATTAAACGTTCAAAAATAAAGTTGCGAAAACATTGTGCTTTCCACTCAATGGAAAAGTTTTGCTCATATGCAAATTCCAGCAAATAAAGTTGCGAAAAATGTTGGACTCCCAAGTGGCGACCCCTTTGCCATATACAAAAACTATTTTTAGCCCTAATAAACATGGGCATCCACCCTTTTTTTTACATGCCCAAAACCCCTTTTTCCTCCGATTGCAACACTTTGGCTCTTGAAACAAAAAAAAAAAAAAGATCCTGCGAGAGTTTTCAGAGCGCCTGCGCTCGAATTCCGCTGTGCAGGACGACTTTGCAGATTTTGTCCTGGATATTTTCGACCACATGCGCACAGAATTTCCACGTGCAAGCGCAACAGCAGCAAAACCAACAACAAACCCAGAAAAAACTGGTAAAACCAAGTAAATGGAACAACAAACACAAATAAAAAATTGGGCGGGGACACAGTTAAAAAAGTTATGAAAGCCAACTGAAGAAAAAGTAGAATTTATCAGCCTTATGAAAAGGAGTAAAATAAGTAAAGTAAATCCTACATTTTCATTTATACTGCTTAAAATTAAATAAAAAATTTTAAACCCAACAATTCAAAATGAATTTCTAACATCTGGCATAAAAATAGAGTCGGAGCTATTTATTTCGTTCCCACTTTCGTGGCAATCTAGTTTACCGTCCAAAGGTGAAAAACCTCATGCTATAAAAACAGGCGACACATTTTCGATTTGGCCACATTTTTGGCGCGGGGCGCCTGTCGCTCGATTTCCTCTCGCATCAAAAATAAAAATGGATCTTCCGCGTAACCCGAAAGTTTGTTACACTAAAACTTGTACAAGATTTTGTTGAGCTAAGCGAACAACCACTGTTTCTCAAAAAAAAATCAAAACTAAATACCATCGGAAAACAAAAAAAAAATTTGACAGAAGCGACTGCCAAAGACAAGACACGGGAAAGAGCCAAAATATTTTACTCATCTATTTTTAATACCTATGACGTGTTTTTGTTGCATATTTTTAGCTAAGAAATGATTTTCATTTTTTTTTTACCCATTGTTTGTCGTACAAATACTGGTCTAATCTATGTCTATCCGCGGGAGGAGTGAACAAAAAAAAAAGAAACTAGTGAGAGGGATTAGGCCCGGAACAGTAATAGAATGGCGTAAACAAAATTAGACACCACGGGATCGGGTCAGAAGGGACTTTCACCAGTCTGTTTATCACTGGCACGGAGCAGTACGGCTGAAACCATAGCAAATCAGATCATTTGCACATACAGTCGAAAGCCATTAAAACTGATCTGTGACCAACTGTGACTTAATCAATTTAAATTGACTGCAATGAAGTTTGGGTTCCTAACATTTCAATTTATAACCTAACATACGATACTTTTAGAGATAATTTACACCCTTACTATATCATTATATTTATTTACTAAGTTTAAGATCTTTACTTTATTTTTGGTTCCCGTTAAATATGAAATCCCACTTGTACTTTCATAATAATACCCTCCAAAATACCTAACTCTTCTGATTTTACCTTATATACTCCCCCATATTTTCTAGGTTTCCCACAAGGAGACTACCCCCAAAACTTACCGTCGGCATCAACCTCGTTGATCATGTCCTGCAGCTCGGCCTCTGTGGGATTCTGGCCCAGGGAGCGCATGACTGTGCCCAACTCCTTTGTTGTGATGGTGCCATCGCCGTCTTTGTCGAATAGCGAGAATGCCTCTTTGAACTCGGCGATCTGTTCCTCTGTCAGCTGATCGGCCTGGAAAACCACAAATTAATATCAGCATTAATTGGATGCTTCACAGCTGAGAATACCAATACCAACATACCATTATGAATTGGTATTGCACCTTTGTTCATAAATTGTTTACAAAATAAATATTACAGCTTTAGACTACTCGACCAGGTTGGTGGTTTGTGAAATGATTTTCAACGACATCTTGATGGCATTTCAATGTCAGCATGGAAAACTACCCAAGAATACAATTAGGAATAACAAAAGAGCGAAAAGGAGAACAATTGTGTTTAATTTGAATAATTTTGCGTATTGTTTGTTCGCCGCAAGGCAAGTCCAGATACAATTGTATCTGTGTATCTGTATCTATGCACTGGTATCTTGAAAAAGGTGTTAAGTTTCCGCTGAATCAACAAAAACCTGACGTCAGCGACTGAATATGAGGAACAAGAGGCCAGGGGGAAAGGAGTGGAAGAACCGGCATCGGGAGGAAGGAAAAGAAGACGACATCCAAAACCAAAATTTATTATTGCCATGCGAATGATGTATATGTGACATGGGACGTGCGAGTTGTCAGTTTTAGTTTCAGTTTCAGGAGCCGGTAAGGTAAGGTAAGGTAAACCTATCCAAAAACGATCCTCAGGGTCTCAGGTCTCAAGTTGGAGCAACAAAACCAAAAACCGGGCGTATAAAATTCCCATTTGCCGGTTCGGTTATTGTTTTATGGCACATTAATGCTTATTTGTGCAACTCGCTCTCCGCCGATAAGCTCAAGAACCTAACGAGTATATTATAAGGCCGGGTTTTGACTCGCGATAATTATTATTAATCATGAAGCAAAAATGCAAAAGCAAACTTTGCCTGCGTCAGAGGTTTACTTATATGTATTTGTTCAGGCTGATAAGTAAGAAATGATTCGGTATATGGCAACAGTATATAAGCGGTTGTTTGTTTACTGATCCCATGTCATTAGAACTTAATTTGCTGTTACAGCCTGCATCATTGTAAACTATAATTAGGTAGTGGCTTTGGATCAACAGCTTAATAGGTTAACAGTTTGCTGATCATCCCTTTGGTAAAATTCCGCTTATCTTATCATTTTACCACTGCGAAATGATGCACCATTTTTTCCCCTTCGAAAGCCAAATTGGATTCCTTAAAAGTCATAGAAAATACATGACCCTCAGACATGTTGGCCAACGTTTATGGACAACTTCCGCTGCGAACCGAACGGGGAAAACAGAAACCAACTTAGTTAAAGCCAAATCAGCAATTGGCATTGGAATTATAGCGCCCTGCTGACCTTATCTAATCGGGGAATTTCGGTAAATTTAAACAGCAAATACGAGTACATTAGGTTTGCTGCCGCGGTGGTGGCACCTGTATTTTTTTTTATACTTTTTTTCGGCCCAGAATTTGTCGCGTTGGCGTTCAATTGAATTTGCCCAGCTTATCTGTGCAGATAAAACGCTTTTCAACTGGGTTATGTCATTGGCAGGCGTGACTAAGCCAGAAACACCCATCGAAGCTCAGATGCCCGCAAAAACAGATTCCGAATCCCGCTCTTTAAATGGCGACAAATGCAAACAACAACAGACCCCACCCACCAGATATCCATTAATGGCAAGTAAGACCGTCGGGCGGGGTCGTTAATCGGAGGGGAATTAATGCCTAATTGGTAATCCATTTATATGCACAATCAGACGCCCACGGGATCCCGGGGAAGCTTCTCTATCAAGGCAAACACAGTGCCAGTCGAAATTTAATTCCTTGAACCAGGACCCCAGCTGCGCTCATTTGTCAAGCCTATTTCTTGTTTTTATGGCAGTGACTCATGACCTCGATGATAGACTCCTCTTTAACTTGTGATACACCAACAAAAGTTTTTTATTACATTTTTTTATTATGATAAAATTGTATTGGTTACTCATAATTCATAAAAACACTGCGATATACATAAGTCATAAGTACGAATTTTTGAAAGTTCTAAATTTAATAAAGATTTTAGAGTTACAAAAAGGTGAGTTAACTTTATAACCCATTTCTTAAGAAAAAAAAGTTGGACGCTTATTCAACTCCGAACAAGTCTGAACTGGAAATTTATGTTTAAGCCAAGTTTGCCGGTTTACCGTTGTATTGTCTATTCATTTTTTTTTTTTGCCGGTCTCAACCGGTTTTGTGGAGTTTAGTTTGGTTTTATGAATGACGGGTTACCATGTTTTTGGGTACAAATTCAGTGCATCCAAACTGAGTTTGCTGTGCTAACTGAGCCAAAAGCGGGACATTTGGCGGTATTTTAATGCCACTCACATCATCGGGTATTCATCATATGCCATATGATCGATGAAGTCAGCCGAAAGTACAGTGAGTCATGGAAATTTATATGGATGTTGTCTTATTTTTCAGCGGAAATAAATACAGGCATATCTCATAATTAGCCCAGCTAAAGATCAACAAACTTTGAAGATCACTCAAGTCACTAGAGCCCCTGCTAAAATGTTTGTTTGGGCCAAGTTAGCAGACGAATCACAGAAGCAATTTTGGCACGTAACCATGGGATACATTTTAATTAAAAGCTGTTTGCATTCTGCGTGAGCTGTAAAAATCGCTAATTAAATTAGACGACGCCAGATGAGACTGAACAAGAGGTTCGGGGAGGGGGTGACGCGATAAAGTGGGCGTGGGGCTTTTTCTTATCAAAAGTCGAAGAAGAGCAAGCCAAACACAACTAAAAGAAGAAGGTGCACGGAGGACAAGACAAGAAAATTGGATTATGTGGTTAAGCGGCGTCTAGCAGGAATTTTTCTTCATTTGCAGCGTGCTCCTCATATTCCTTCTCCTCCCCCGACATTCGCCTGTGCCGTTACAATAAAATTCTTGTGCGAAAAGGCAAAGTGGAACAGGCAGCCCCAACACACACATACACAGCCCCACTCATATACACACGCACACGGCGAGCCGAACGAATGAACGAACGAAGCAGACAAACGAAGACGAAGGCGAAACAGCAAAATAACCGCAATGCGGCAAATGAAACGGTTATGGAAGAAAACAACAAAGGACAGGCGCCGATAAAAGTGCCAAGCGCAAGGCGCAAAAAAAAAATGAAAAGCTGAAAAAACGGAAAGAGAGACGCAGCACAAAACGGAACTGATAACGAACGAAATAATTGCACAGAGAGAGACGCGAAAGTGTGTGAAACGGTAACGCGAGAGAGCGTCGAAACGGTTAAAATGAGCGGCGAGTGCGCATGAGAGAAGAAACGCGAAATTCCTCAAAAGAATTTTTTCACCATTTCCATGGGCCGTCTCCAACCTCAATTTTTGCGGCCAATGCGGTAAATAAAAAAAAAAAATACAGCAAACAACGAACGGCGGACAAAGAGGAGAACCCAATAATGCCGGGCCCGGCGACTTTGTTGTTCATCAATATATCCACACAGTTTCCACTGATAAGCAAAATGGAAGGCGACTAGCGGGGGCTTTTCTATAATATGCGGGGATCTTTGAAAAATTGCTGATAAAAGTGCCGATGGCAACGCGTGTGTGCACAAATTTGCCAAAATCACATTTGATTTATGATCTCGGATCCCAGAGACGGGGAAAGTAGAGGGGCGGAAAATGAGGTGTTGCTCGAGATGCTGATAAGAATTTCCACTTTTTCACGGCTGATTGGGTTTCGAGGGGTCTATTTTGCGAACGTCATGGAAATATTATAGGGCGAACCTGATCGAGAGTCAACATTCGTGTGCGAAAGCCTTGGAAAAATAATAATTTTGACGGATGACGTGACATGTGTGTAAATTCTTGCTATTGACATTGCTATTTAATTGTGCTACTTGTTTTCTACGACCCCCGGGTAGAGTTCAACCTTTGTACGGTATTAATTTCGCTCTCACAAAAAAGTTTTCAACTGGAGTAACCTAAACTAACTTAAATTTTAATTGGGACAATGCACTCTTGTTTAATGAGTTTTTAAGCTTCTCAAAATTTTCGGCTCTTTTTGTTAAACAACGATATTAAGTTTGTAGAAAAAACCAGTTTTTTCTACCCGTGAGCATGATATATTTTTGGGGTGCGAAATGTAAACGAATTTCCCGGGGACAGCTGCTTTTCGACGGGGTGTTTGGGGTGTGTTTGTGTGTGTGTGTGTGGAAAGCCGTTAAAACCATATAAACAACATCTAATTGGAAACCATTCGACCCCTCCCGCTCGCACTAATGGTAATTGCCCTGGGGGTCGCTGTCTGACTTTGATTTTTCGCAAAAATTGTGGAAATTTCAATGGAAAATGATGGCCGCAGTTGTGTAAACAGAAAATAAAGATGCACATGTTTTCCCAGCCCCATAAACTTACCATTTTTGTAGGTGTAGGTTTTTGTTTTGTTGCTAAAGTGACGAAGTTTTTAATCCGCTGCGGCTACTGCTGCTGTTGGTATGTGTGTGAGTGGAATTACGGAACGCGCGGTTAACTTTATTTTTACTAATTAACAACACTGCAAAAGAAGCAAGAAGAGATTTGGGGGTATTACTTTTGGGACTCTGTCTGCAAGAAGAAGAAAACTGCCAGCTTGGAGAGAAAAAAAGCGTCCAAAGCAGCGACGCCGACGCTTTTTTTCCTCGCCGTGGCAGCTTCTTAAATTCTGTAGTGTTGTTGTTTTCAGCCGAATTCAATACAAATTTTCGCCTTGCGTTTCTTTCTTTTTTGTGGCTTTCATTCGGGTTTTTTCATTTTTTTTTTTCATCTATTGTGCGAAATATGCCAAACACACGCGCGCACACGGCAGAATTCTCGTTTATATAGTAGATATGTGGCGGGGAGAGCTAATACATATGAGTTGCTCGGATTCGGTTTTATACAGATATTTGTTTCATTTTTTGCTCGTTGGTTTTCTTGGTTGTTGGCTGTATACTGCTCTATATGTAAATCTGTGGCAACTCACGATCTAAGAATTCCGTCCGCAACGGTCGACGACTCAAAAATTTGTGTTCGAAATGGCGCTGTGTCGCCATATATACGGAGTATGCATGGTAGAATAAAAATAAGGTGGTCTCGTCGGCTGCCATACCGTTCGGGTTTTGTCTGTTAACGTTCGAACTTAAAGGTTGTATGCTGACGGTTTTTCTTTTAAGCATTGCAGTTGTGCCAGAAAGCACCTGCATGCCATACTATTGCACCAAAATTGGTAAAAAATATACAAATTTTCAAAAATTTCCCCTCTTTGTAGAAAAGAAGACAATTTTTAATCCCTCCACGGTAACACTTTCCGTTGATGTTTCTTTGGTAATTATTTGTTTTACTATTATTTATTTCAGTTTTCAGTATATCTAAATTTCGGCTTAGTATTTCGAATCGATCGCAATCGATCTTAAAATCGGAAGAAAACAAAAACGTCTCTTATCGTGCACTGGAGGCGCTTTTGCCAAGCTAACGGCTTACAGAAATTGCTTAAGTTTCTGTTAGAAAACCGATGGATTCAAAACATGTTCGACGAACATTCGTCAGCAAGAGTGGGGAAAATGTATTTCGAACACAATGTTTTGAATCCACCACCATTGGCTTGTTGGCGAGAGGGGGGAGAGAGAGCGAGGAGATGAGAGAGAGATTTTGCTGCTGCTCTGTTTAGTTCGTGGATATTTTCGCGAGCGAATCGGTTGGTCGCTCGCACTCTCTTCTGCAGCGGACTTAAAGTAAGGGTGGTGCAAGTGATACCCTGTAAGCAAGCAGAGTACTTTGTACTGAAAACTAACTTTAGTAAAGTTTTATTGATATAAAAAATTTGATATTTTTTAGAAGAATTAACATGTTAGGCAACTAAAGCAGGGCCTTTGTCAAGTTTAATTGAATTTAGTTCCAGATCCGAAAGCTAAGCCCCAAACTTGGTTACTTCAAAATGGCGGAGTGGAGCATTCGCTTTGTGCTGTACAGATCTCCACTGCTTGCACGCGGATCCCTCTGGCGATTAATGATGCTCATGGCGCTCCTCGTGGTGATATAGCTGGTCGGCTGGGGGATTTCTCCCCGCTCCAGGGCCTCCTTCTTCTCCAGTTCCCGGCGCTGACCCACGGTCAGTCGGGCCTCCCGCACCCGCCTCTTCACCTCCCGCTTCTCGAACTCGTCGGGATCGAACAGGGTGTCCGGCGCTGGACGGGCTGCGTTTAGGTTCTTCTTGATGTACGTCTCCAGCTGCTCCTCGGTCATGTTCTTCGTCTTGATCAGCTCGCTGAAGGCCATTTTGGCCTCCAGCTGCTTGGCCTGCGAACGTTTCAGCCGGTAGAAGTCCTCCCGCTCGAACTCCTCCAGCTCCCCGCAAATGTAGTTGTAGGTGTTTTGCAGGATGGGAATGACCTGGGATAAATGTATAAAAGTTCATAAATGACTAATGATGCAGTTGGTTAGAGAATTGAAATAGAAACATTTAGAGGTAAGCCACTTTAAAATCGGAAAAACATTTTGGGAGTTATGGCTCCTGAAAAAGCTGATTTGGGTCTCCTATTAATAATCAAGGGATAATGGAAAAATCTGACATGAACAGGGTCAAAAAATAAATAAATAGAAAATGTAAAAAAACAAGCAAGTACCACATGCTCCAAAGCGTTGACCCTCATGTTGGTCTGGAGGGAGGCGGCCTCCAACATCCGAACCTGGTAGTCGATGGAGGCCAACTCCACGACCTCCTTGAGGGCCTTCGTATAGCTGTCCCTGATCTTTTGAACCTGCATCCCGCCGCAACTGAGTCCGGCCAAGGGAAAGGCCCCTTGGCCCTTAGTTTCCAGCTCCAGAACGTTCAGCTTGACGCCCACGATTTTGATCTCCGTTCGACGGAGAAAAGCGGTGGCCACGCGAGTGTGGCTCACCATCTGCGGCTTGAAGTCCGCGCCCAGGAGATTCGCCTTGGCCATCGAGAAGATCGCATTGCGCATCATATCGTCCGACTTTAAGTCCTGGTCGAACCGCATGCGCCGCAACTCCCGCAGCTTCATATCGATGGCATCCCGCTTCCGCTTCAAAAGACCCACTCCTCTCCTCGCCGCCAAAACCCGCTGCTTCATGATCACTGAATTGGCTCGAGAGGGAAATACGGGTAAGATGTCTCTTTTGGCCATTGCAAGATCCTTCGATATCGGCTGAGATCTCGAAAGGGTTTTGGCGAATTTTGAATTTTGCGACAAAAATTAAAAGGGTTACTGATAAAAAAGGGGTTTGGGTTTCCCTACCAAAAGTGATTTATATTTTATTTTTTTTATTTTTAATTTTTTATTATTTTTATTTTATTTTTATTTTTTATTATTTGGATTTTTATTTCTCTTAAGAAAGCAAGGGGATAATTAATATTTAATTATAAATTTATTTTATATTTGATAAGATGATTTAAAGGTTTATCACTCATACGCCTTGTGGCCATATCTGTATATGTTCTTTCTTTTATAAAATCACGCATACGCACTGTTGTTTTCGAATAGTTCAATTAAAATGTTTTAAGAAATTGTTTGCCCCAAAGATTTGGAGCATCTGCCATGGGGCAGCGGGGCAACACAGATCCGTGGTCAGCGGATGCGTGTGCAATTACAATGCGGAATGTATGGCCATTCCACTGGGATTTTGCATTGGGCATTGGCCATTGGACACTGGCACTGGACACTTGGCCATTGGACGGCGATTTTGCGCATTTTCCAGCTGCTGCTGCTGCTGCTGCTGCTGCTGCTGCTGTACGATTTCCTTTGCCGCAGCGAATTGTCGCAATGTGGCGCCGCTTGGTGCAACGCAGCCTTGGCGCATTTGCAACGCATGCCAACAAGTTAAGTATGTTAACCTCTGGAAAATTAGACATGCCAAAAGGGGCGATAAGCGGGGGACCAAAAGGGGGTGGGAAAGGGGGCTTTTGAGGGGGCTGAGGGCTAGGTAACGAAAACGAAAATGAAGTAACAATGCAGCAAACATCGGTTCGGGCCAAAAAGGGCAGGGCGCTTGTAGTTGAGTCGCTGTTGCTAGTTGGTAGTTGTCGTTGTCGCTTGGCGACGACAGCAATGCGCCATTTTTCGTTTGCCCCGCAAGACATGAAAATTCGGCTTTCCCCTCCTTCGATGTGTGTGTATGTGTGTGTGCGTGTTGGGTAAACATTCTGCCAGGCGTTTTCATTCTCTCTTGGATTTTTGCAATCGCAGAAGAAGCCCTTCAAGCTACAATTTCACCCCGCCAAAAAAAAAAAAAAAAAACATTGCCATTGCGTTTTGGCGGAACTTACCGCAATTCGCTTGTAAATCATGGATTTTATTTTTATCTTTGCAAAAAATACTTGTTCAAATAAATATTTTAGCTAAAGTTTTACTATCGCCTGCTAGCTTTTTCTTTAAAAATAAATCCTAAGTAGCTTTCGTATTTATTCATCACAAACATATATAAACAAAGAGGTTGTCCTTGTTTATGTTCTAAAAACAAGTGTGTGAAGGGAATAAGTGCCAAGTAAACATAATTTAATTGCAAGTAAATATTTGTCCTTGTTCTTATCTGATTATTAATTTGCATATATGTGTACTTATGTATACTTAGGCACAAAACTGACAAACAATAAATGAGGCAATGCAACAAGAATAAAATGTAAAAAAAAGTACTTATGTGTACATATAAATTTATTTCTACATACGAATTGTACAACATAGAAATAATAAGTAAAGCTGCCATTTTCCGACTATTTTCCCTTCTTTCCTTTTCCCTTTCCCTGGCGCTTCTTTTTGCGCTGATCCTTCTTCCACTTGCGCCAGTATTTCTGAATCTTGGCCGCCGCTCGATTCATCATGAATATCACCAACTTCTGCTGCTGAATACGACGCTCCTCCTCCTCCTTTTTTACCACAATATTCTTGTAGACACGCTCCTCCTGCTTGAACTGGACCATGTAGTCGTCCAGGATCTTCTTGGCCACCAGAAACTGATCCTGCGCCACCAGATTCTCGCGCATCTTTTCGCCCAGACTTGCATCGTATTTTTTCAGCAGACTTTGCAGTTGCAAAAGGTATTTGTTTCTGGTCAAGGGAGAGTTAAGAAATGTTTAGTAAATAGCTAAGAGATTTCTTATTCTTATCCTACTTTTCGCTTCTCAACTCGTGTTCTTCCGACAGGTTTTTTTTGGTCATCTTTTCGTAAGTTTCCCGTGCCAAAATCAGTTCTTCTTCCAACTCTTTTTGGCGATCCATGCTGCCCTTGTGATAACTTCGCATAGTTCGGTTGCATTTTTCACTAAAAGAAAAGAATTTACATTTTTTTTAAAGATATTAATAATATAGATTTATTTTGGAACCCCCACAATTATACTCACATTTCATTCTGAATAGCCACGTTGTTTTGCCACTTTTTGTTGGCCAGATCCTCTTCGACCTTCATCAGATAGATGCCCTTGGCCGCAGTTTTCCACTTGCCAATTACCTGCTGGAAGGCCAGACTGGCCTTAAGTTCCTTGATTTTCTTCTGGATATCCACATTCTGGTGGTAAATGGCATGTAGCTTTCGCTCCTTGGTGATCTCGCTCCTTGAAGACCGATGAAGGTGCATGTGAGCACTATCCAGGAGAAAGTGAAAGGCGGCCAATAACTGGCGATCTCTTTCGTTGAGATTATGCATCATGTGCGGGAAGAATCGGTGAATTTTATGATTCATCAGGAAGAAGTCAACGATTCGCATTGTGGTGTGATCGTGGGGTAGTTTTGAGTGGCCAGTCTGTTTTCCCAGTTGGTGAATCAGGCTGTCGATGGGTTCGAGGACCTCCTCGTAACATGTGCCCTTCAGCACGCTCTTCAGCTTTTCCGGGTGCTCCAGAAGTTTCGGAATAATCATGGCGATCTTAATGCGCTCCTGCGACATCTTGAGCACCCGTTCCACGCCCTCCAATCTAACTTGGCGTTCGGCAGTTGTATCTTAATGGGAAATAAAATTAAGTCCTTGATTTACCTATAAATTTATTTTATACCAACCCATTTTCACTTGAAGGTTTTAATATTTCGTATTAATTCTTATTATATTGTAATGTTATTTCATATTTTAAACTTTAATTCCTGATCTAATGCTGTTTACTTTTTAATTCCTTTTATCTGTGTTTTGTGTGTGTTTGTGCCGAGTTCTTTGCGAGTTCTGAGCCAAGTTTTTTATTGTTTTTGACTAATAAACAAACATGGCTTACTGTGTTTGCCATTTCGCCTGGCAACAGGGCCAAAACGTGTGGAAGGGAAACCCTTTCGATCAAGGAGCAACTTGGGGCAGTTACCGAGGGGGGCATGGTCGGGGGCGGAAGATTTTGTATGGCACATTCATGGCAATGCCTGGTGAAAACTTTTCCCAAGTGCAGCAGTTGACAATGGAGGCAGTGGTGGGTGGTCCAGGGGGCGGTGGGTGCAAGTGGGTGGCTGGTTTGTTGCTTGTGTGTGTGGCCATGTCGCATTATGTCAACTGACGTGGCATGAATGAAAGCTGCTGCAGCAAAGCAAAACGGGCGAAAAAAAAGAAAATCATAAGAGCATGAAACGAACTTGTGAATGCAGAACAATGTTGATAGAATGGGGCGGGGGTGAAAATTCCTCGCTCAGGTGGAAAATCTACGTAATGAAACTGGTATTTCTGGTTTCACAGGATTGAATGGTAATCCCTAAATCTTTTGATGCATCTAAAAGGTCACAATATTTGGAACATTTGTAGAACATATTTTTTGCAATCAGTCAAATATTTGATATAATTTAAGAACTTAATATATGAATAAACTATAATTATTTAAATATAGTAGATTTTAAATTAGAATCTTATAGTTAACATATAGTTAATAAACGCCTAAAATTCAATTCAAACTGTTTCCAAATTTCTCAAGGACTTCGTTTCCATTCCCATTCCGTTTTCAACCGTTCCCCCCTTTTGCTCTCCCCAGGACGAAACGCAACAAGTAAGAAGAAGCATTCACTGCGAGGCCAAAAACTTTTCCAGGCACCATACGAGCCAAAAACAACAAGGACACAACAACAACAAGAGGCGGCGATGACAAAAATGAATGGCGAACATTTGCTGAAAACGTCGCAAAGCCCCTTTTCTCCATCCCCCCTCTGTCAACGAAAAGAATGTGCTCGCTTGTCTGCGTAAAATGCTGCAATGCGAAGCAGCAGGAAAAAAAAAGAAACCATGTAAAGGCAAAGAAAAATAAAATTGAGCAAGAAATAATATTGGTTGTTGCTTTGCTCTTGGCTGGTAAGAAAAGCAATAAACGATAGATGAACCACTGGGCAAAGGACAGAGAGAGAGATGAGTGAGAGAAAGCCAAAAGAAATGACGCATAAGCAGGCAGTGAGAGTCCCTCAAAGTATGCAGCAAAGTATGTTAGGAAAAGAGAGAGTGCGAGAGCTCCACCGTGTATGCAGCCAAAGTTTGGCAACGCAGAAGAGAAAGCAACGGTGAAAAGTTAGTGAGCGGAAGCGCCTCAGCGTATGTAGCAAAATATGTTAAGTCTGTAGAGAGAAGAGAAATTCGTAGTAAGGTGGAAAAACGCTAACGGTACTGCAAAGAAGGTGCAGACCAAAAAAGAAAATCACAAAATGGCGCTCTCCCTCACTTGCACTCTCTTGCTCTCCGGTGGCCCACATTCGCTCAGCTGAGCTTGGATTTACCGTTAACCGATTACAGCCATACCGCTTACGATTTACCGTTTCGGGCCGTCTGGCCCTGGCTCATTATGTCCCGTTGCCTTGGCAGTATTGTTGTATATTTTTATAGTCCTCACTCGACTGTTTCCTTTTGAGTTTTTCTTTTTCCAGACCCTCCTATCTACATTTTTTCAGAAATGTGGACCCGTTATGCTCGGCCTGGCCGCATTGCAGCTATAAATTTGTTTGTGGTTCACATTTGCCTTGGAAGATTACATTTGGCTGTAGCCACACAGCCCTAGGAGAAATAGGGAAAGAAGAGGAGAGATGAGAAGAGAAGAGAAGAAACCGTGGAACAATGGACTCAAGGAAAGGGAAACGAGAAACAAGAAACAAGAAACGACTAACTAACTGTGCTTAATGGTGGGTGGTGGCTCGTGGTCGGTAGTGGGAAGGGGGTGGAAACCCCATAAAGAACCTTTTTGAGAAAGTGTTATTATAATGCTTGGTCTGCCAACGGGAAGGTCAGGTTGTTGGGTCTTACCAGCGGAAACTAAAGATATGCCCCTGGGTTTTCCTTTGAGCTGGAAGGGAATGAGATTTTCACGATAAAATACAGATTACGGCGGGAGGATTTCGTTTAAAGAATTCTTTTAAAGAAATAGTATGAAAACAGTACCTATGTATATTCTGATGTAATATACTTTGTGTGTATCGACATTTTTCTCCTTAGAAAAGAGAACATTCGGTTTGGTTTTATTATACTCCCATTGAATGCGATTCAAAGGAAATACACTAGTTGCACTACTAAATTTTATTTTAGCATCCCTATGAGACAGATTTTACGGGCAAGAAATAGCCAAGTACGGATAATTCTGCCTTCGAGAATAGTTATAGTTTCCTCCTCCCACTTCCTCCTTCGCCACTTGTTCTCGGACGGAATTCAGTTGCCAAGCAGGATCCATTTGGCCGGGCACCTGCTTTTGTCACCTGAGCGAGGACCAGAGGAAATGTCGTATTCGCAAATGAAGTGGCACCCATCCCGAATCCTGGCCCATTGAATCCTGCCGCCCACCTGGACAAGTTTCTGCTGAATTTTTCATGGCCTTCCCAGCTTTTTTGGTATTTTTTTTTTTTTTTTTTTTGGTTTGTTCCCTGCCTCGTTTCCGCTTGGCAGTTACACTTTGGTCTCTAGTTTTGGGTCTGTTCCGAGGCAGTCTGGCATGTATTTTGAGTTGGTAATGTTTGGCACTTTTTATGGAGCAACTTGCACTCAAGTTGCCCCGAGAACTTTTGGCTTTTGCTTCCGTTTGGTTTGACTCTTGCCAACCTTCTCTGTAATTTGAATGTTCTGAACTGTGAAGCGGGCGACAGAACAAACTGTCGTAAAGGTCCTGGAAAGAGTTAACTTGGCTAATAAAGTGAAGCCATCCATTCCCGCCCACTCGACCTAGCTGTTTCAAATTTTTGTTGCTATTAGAAAAGTTTTTGTTCGCTTTGGCGCACATTTTTCTCCTATTTTTTTGTGATAATTTAATAAACTATCCGAAAGTTGAGAAAGATTAAACTTTCGCTACGCTTGGAAAACAAACGAAATTGAAATTCAAGCAGCATTGCCGAATCAAGAAATCCGGGACCTTGGCAACTTTCACAAAGACTTTGAGCCAACAGTTTCATAAAACTTTAATTGGATCAGCTGTAGTAATGGGTTTGTCTTCAAAAGAATTTACATCAATGGTAAAATAACTGTCGTAGATATGTTTTATTCAAACCAATCGAAATCATAATCCCCATAATCAATATTCAATTAGACACATTTTTGGCATTACGTATTTAAATTACGTTACTGGGTATTGGCCTTCGTATTTCTGTCACGCACTGTTTCAGTATCATATTTTTCATCTTACCATTGCGGCCACTTAATTGTGTTATAAGCTGAATATATTTTATTTCATACATTGCCAGCACGTGCTGACTATCGTTTGGCTCGGATCATCTTCAAATATTATATTTCTTATATATATAATACATTTTCTGTTTGACCAATGTCAACAATAAACGACAAAATGGCCGCACGTGCACTTGGTTTGTTTGCCTTTCTTCTTTGGTGTTCGTTGTACATCTCCTGACTTCCCAGTTTAATTTCGGCCAAATAGCAAATGTCCTGGCCGAATGATTGATGGCATTGCCTTGGCAAAGCAGAAAAAAAATTCACTTGTTAGCGGTTAACCAAGCCGTTTACTTTCCATTTGCCGGATTCCGCGTGAAGCCCGTGAAATCTCTTCGGACCGAGTTAATAAATTGTTTGCTGTATTTGTTGCATTTAGCGCCTACATAATATTCGCTTTGGTAAACTTTGTAATGAAGTCGCTGCGGGAGAAACCTTTATCAGGTTTCCAATCTTGTCTTTGGTACAGTGGAGACTCTATGGGGAGGATTTGTTAATATGTTTCTTCTGAGAAAAAAAAGAATTTATAAGGCTTTTATTTATGTATTTATTTATGAAATCATACATTTTCTTGCTTTTCTAGAACAAGCTTTAGTTTAAACTCTCTTTAGTTCTTGTAGACTTCAAGTTGCACTTAGGGAATTTCGACTGTATTCCCTTATTTAGGTCTCCTTTGTTCTGTATGCAAGGCACGCAAATTTGTTGCCAATAAGCAGCCGAAAACAATTTTTATAGGGCTTGACTGGGAAGATGGCTGGCCTGAGGAACTCAGGGGGTTGCCAGGGGGAGTCCTTTTTCCTATGCGTGCTGCGTGCGCTTCTCTTCTCGCTCCTTTCCCTTTCCCTTCGCCTTCGCATTCGCCTTGCTTTCCCTCCCCTCTCCTTCTCCCTCCCGAACTTCCTGCTCTTTGAATGGAGCCAGGGGTGAGATGGTGGCCCAGAGACCCTGGAGTTGCTTAGCTACACCGACGCCCGGATCCAGAATGTAGGTCATGTTGGACTCTGCTCCAAAGGAGGGCGGCCACTCGACGAGGAACGGGGGGCGGGGTCACCGGAGAGAGGCATTCACACTCATACAGACCCACACTTTCACCATCCAATACACTGCCAGAATTCATAATACATACACAGAATTTTCGGATGTTGGACTGGGTGCAAAAGTCGCAGGGAAAAGTGGCGAGGGAAAAGAGCAGGAAGGAAAGCAACACTGTTTTCCATGAATACGTTAGCACGGGCTGGAGGTGGGCGTGGCCCACAGCCTTCCACGCCTTGGATATGTGCTTTATTATAATAAAAATTTCATTAGAAAATTGAATGTTGACGTGTCGCATGTGCCGTACTTCCTGTTTCCCCTGCTCCGATTTTTCGCACATCATTCCATAAACATTACGTTAGCTACTTATCCTGCAGTATTTTTAGTACATTTTAAGTAGAGCACTGTAGGGAAATTAAAGCGGGTAAATGAATATGAATGGAGCAATGGGATATCCTTAGATCTTATATTCCCAGAAAATGAATTTTTATTTTCCAGAAAATTTCAACCTTTTAAATTTTTAACCCATTTTAAGGTTGCTTTTTCAATGATTTTGAGAAGCAACCCCTTTGAAATCAGGCTAATCATCCTTGGTCACAAACTTTTCCACTCAACTGTCTGGGTCAAATTGCGTATACGCGATGCGGGACAAGGGACCGCTATCTGTCCAGAAGGCCCGGTCCCAATCATCCTAGACAAATGAGGGTCCTTGTCAATATGAGTAATAGCTCATCAAAGTTTCATTTTCAACCTTTTTTTTTTTGTACCAAATATCCTGTGCATTGTTGTTTTTTTCCCACACCTTCCGTGCTTGCAAATCATGTAGAGCAGTAGAAAAATATCAAATGAAATTGGGAACTTTCGGCAAACCATTTAACCCGAAACTGAAAGTATGACAAGACAAAGTTTTTTTATTATGGCCAGAACAGCAAGTGTGGGCAAATGGTCTTGTAATACATTTGGTTATAGACGAGCCGATATATTTATCGTTGTTTCGGCTTTTTGTCACCCGAAGAGTCAAATGAAAGTTGTGACACATGCAATAATTTGATTTTGCTCGCAAATAAATCGTAAAGATTGCCGAATCAACAAAGGGCAAACAAACTGAAAACAAGTTTTGGGACCTGCTTTCGTTTTCGTTTTCAATTTTCAACTAAAAAAAGGAAAAAACACAGGACATGTTTGTTGTGGGCGTAATGAGACAAAAGCCACCTCATGCCGCCCGTGGAGCATGTTTTATCGATAATTCGTGAGTGCGACGCAGAAAAATCACCCACTTTCCCACCTCCCCATTTCCACTTTCCCTCCGTCGAGCCACTCCATTCGATTTGAGCCACCCGAACTACCCACGCACTCACATCCATTTAGTCTGTATAACAAACAAATGTTTTTTGTATGTGTCAGGCGCCGGTTTCCTTGTTTTCCTTTTCCCTTTTCCCATTTTATTATTATTATTATTTCTCTTTTTTTTTTTTTTTTTTTTTGTTATACGAAAATCGGTTTTTGCGGACGCTCAACTGACACGAAACTTCAGTCAATACATATATATGTATTTGGTTATACACAAAAAGAAAATGATGGATTGGATGGTAATTTGCTGAAAAATATCTATATGATATATTGGTGTTTCAAATTGAAATGTATTTGTTCGTTGATTTCTGAAGGATACAAATTTTATATTGATTTTATGTGATATCTTATAAATATTTGAGAGCATAATTTCTCCAACTGTATCCCAGTTTTAGATAGGTTCCGTTGGAAAGGTATTGACAGGAAATTGGAACCGGTGCTCCCGAAAGGTGGTGGGACTTTGTTTTTCTTGTGTCGGTTGATTTCTGAGCTGGGTGTCATGTTCGTGTCGAATATAGAGACATGTGCCCAATAATCGTCCCATAAAGCTAAAAATAATATGAAAATTATTGCTGTAAATGACAATAATAAATTTACATACGGAATATGTCTACACATTTGATTTATTTGTTTACCAAGACAACGGGATTCTAAGAATCGATTGATTGGCATTAAGTGGGTCATTAATGGGTTATGCAGCTGACTCATCTCTGAATAAAATACGCACTCAAAAGTAGGCTATGAATAATTGAATATCCTAGCAGCCAATTAAATTTCCTGGGAATGATAAACTATTACCCGTAAATTATATCGAATGATTATTTAATTAGCGTGACAAATTAATCTCATGCATAATCCAGGGCAGTGAAAAGTGTTGGCCAAGAAATGAAAAATGCAGCTCAAGACACGCAGGCCACAGGGCAAACAGCCTTAAGCTTATTAATAGCAAATGAAGAAAAGTCAGGAAAAACAACGGAAAATGTCAGCGCGATGTCAGCAAGCGCATTACATTAAACAACTGGGGAAAGAGAAGGAGAACCGCTCGGAGAACACGGCGGCAAAAGTTAAATGAAAATGGAAAATAATTAGCAAACAACTGCAGTGAGAAGGCAAATAAAAGAAGAAGAAAATGGCGGGAAGGAAAGGAAAAGCCTTGTCTTGGCTCGCCTTGCTGCTCAGATTACGATAATTATATTAAAAATAAACTCTATGGGATTTCATTTAGTTTTCAGTACTATTAGTACTATTACCAAAGTGTTTTTGACCTTGTGGAGTAACGAAAAACTGCGGGAAAAGCAGCGGGAAAACGACAATGGCAACAAATAGCGATAAGCATGCCATTCGCATGACATGCAATCCATTCAAAATGTCCCAACTAATTAAAATGCACTTCCAAACTCTCTTTTTACCTTTTTCCCCCTTTTTTTTTGCCTTTTATTAATCATTTTAAGGCTCGGCTTCTCTTTGGGCGAGCAGGCCAAATGAAAATTCTGTGGCACGGCAAATGCAATTTATACGAAAAATACTCGTACTCGTAACCTGAGCTTAAGCTGCATTTTATCGCCGGCTAAATGGAAAGAGGTCAAAGGGGAGGGTTACAAAGGTGCGATAAAAAACTGAAAAAAATAACCAACGCATGCAACCTACCAAAAGCAACAGCAATAAAACTATGAAATATACATGGACGAAAACTGAGTGTCCTTGTGCCTCACGAAAGCTGAATACGCTTTTCCTTCTTGCCGTACATTTTCCTTAATGAAATAGTTTTCGGGGCAAATGGCATTAAGCAGGGAATGTACTTTAATTTACTTTTTTCCTCCGAGGCGGAACATTTACAGTTTTACATGGAAATGCAACGAAATGAGTCCGTGACATGACATGCCGACGCAAGTCTGACATGGAAATGTGAGGAGCCAATCTGGAAATGGGAAAATGTGCTGCGAGAGAAAAAACGTTGACAAGTTAAAATCGAATTGTATACGAATGGTATGTTATTTTTGGGTAGTATTCATTTCCTATTCATAATGGGAAACAGGTTATAATAAATATTATATAAAATGTAAACAAAATGAGTAATGAATGAGTACTTTTACTGTACTTAATTTTATTTCTTTTTTTTAAACTTTAGGGGATTTTCTCTTAGTGAAGGGAACTGGGGACTTAAAACTCACATGATGGACGGACGGACAGGCTGGAAGGAAGACTGATGGCTCTGACGCATGGAGAGCGGGAAGGAGCGATAACTTTTCTACTTACGAATACGAATACGAATACGAATACTCACAATTGCCGGTCTTGCAGCTCCTGCCCAATTTCGCTTTGGTAATTGTGTTGCTCCTGCTTTATCCTGGCCTCTCTGGGGTTGGGGTAATTATACAAGGCGTTTTTCGGCAAGTTCACGAAATTCGTACACCAAGGACATGTTAATTAAAAAATTTCGTCAAATAATACTGACGAAACCGAGCATATAGATGAGTCAGAAGGTGAAATGATATCATCAGCAATGTGCTGAAAGAATATCTTCCTTTTTAACAAATTTAAGATAATATAAATCATTTCAAGAATTAATAAATAAGAGCTCTTTAACCACTTTCTAAACTTTCTAAAACCTTTCCCAATGTCTTCTATGTTAAACTGAAATCCGTCTGCTCCAATTTCACTGCAAACAATTCGTATTTATTCATTATTAACTAAGCGCTGCCGCCTTTTATTTGAACGGGCAAACATTGGTTTTTGCCTTTTCTACGCCAGATTTTGACAAACAAAAAAGCAAAGCTTAAAATGCTCAAAGCCAGCTTGCTGTTCTCGGATTTCACTTTCGTTGGAGGTCAAATATTTGCGGTCGACAAAGAGATGGAAAAAGGTAACTACTATAAAATCGAGTGCTACAATTGAACCAAGGCAGTTAGCATCCAGCTATCAATCGAAACAATTAAGAGTCACCATGAAGTTTATTGTCTTTGTAATGTCCACCTTGGTGATTTTGAGTCTGACTTACCAACTGGAGGGACGAAGGCAGATCTATTGCCTGTGGAGCACCAAAAGGACCTGCTCCAAAACCACTCCCAGATGCATTCGTGTTCAAACTGGCGTTGATGGCAATAATGCTGCCATCTATTCATGCAAATACTACCAGAACGATTGTAAATATCTTCTGGATAGCTGCAAGGGTAACACAAGTAAGTATATACATTCTAAGTATGTATATATATAAGTTTTCATATTTAAATTTAAAACTACTTACAGTTTATGGCCAACTTGGAATGGTGGCTGATGTACTCACACAATGTATAAATAATAATATCCCAATTGGAGGAACTGGAACTTGCACATAAGTTGGGTTAATCAAAGCAACTAACTTTTAACTATTTATGGTTTCAATATTTATGGTCCATTCAAATGTATTCTTATTTATTAAACGTTTTCCTGTTTTATTTAATAAAATCTATTGCCACTTCACCGGAAGCCACACATTGTTCAATTTCCCGATTCTGGCATTCAATCTCAGGGCCGATCTGACTGCGAAAACGATTCATTTAAACGGTTTCGGGTGCTTTTGCAACTCGTTTAGCTTTTAATGGCTTTCATATCGCCATGATGTATGCTTTAACGTTTTCCCTTTTTTCGCCCTTTTTTAATTGCATTCGCATAAATCGCACTACTTGGCTGGCAGTCGGGGAAAACGAGGGTAAAATTATGGTTATGGCCACGCAGACAAGCGCACTGGCCCACACACACACACACACACAAACATACAAACACACTCACACACGCGGACAATGTAAATTTATGGAGCTTCGCTTTTTAGTTTGCAATTTTTCGCAATTTTCTTTCTTTTTTTTTTTTTTTTGTATACAGCGGATGCGGATGGCGAACGCCTGCGGATGCAATTAGAATGGCACAGTGAACACTCCTGCACACACATAAATAATTGTTTGTTCCACTGAAATATAGGTCATTACGAAACATTTTTGCAGCGAAAGTTCAAAGTATTAGCATAATTTTTGAATAAATCTTCACTGGGTTTCTTTGTCTCAACCACACAAACATTTTTGTTCCATGTGCGAACTGGAAATTACTTTAAAGAAAGATTTAGAAAATACTAAATGGTAGTGTGTTCTTTTCTTTTCTTTTTGAAATGTTTTATAATTTCGTAAGTATCCCTTTATCCCCTTTGTATAATAATGGGCGTGATACTCGAAGAAGAAGACGATGATCCCAGAATGGAAGACAGGATGCTGGCAATTGCGGAATTGGAAGTGGAACTCGTTGAAGTTGACGATGAGAAGGTACTTGTGCAAGTTCCAGTATTGTTTACAGTTATACTGGAACAGTTCCCAAGATTAACCACATTCCAGCCTATGAAAAAAAGGAATTTAGAGGTTAAATTAAAAATTAATAAATATGTATAAGATATTCTTATTGAGAAAAATGTACTTAATATTCTAACAAAAAGTGTTTCAACCAACTAAAAACCGAAAATCTATATAAATTTGTTTAGAATCTTGATGTTAGATATTTCTGGGACACTTTTGAATACAATTATTGGATGGTACTCACTTGAAACAGTTGTCTGGCAGTTGGCCCGCTCCATGAGGCACCTGTTCATGAAGCGATGGCACCTGCGGGTGGAACTCCATCGAGCACAGACATTCGAGTTGACGGAGCAGCTGGTGGTTGTGGTTCTGCAGCGGGAGGCTGGAGTGGAGCTACTGCTGGACGAGCCACTACCGTTGGTAATCACTATCACCGCTTTTCCATTGGATCTTCGAGCATTAACCGATCGTCTTCTTACTGCAGCTGTTCGGGCATTAGCTCTACTTAAATTCCTGGCCCTCGTCCTTTTAGTTCGTGCATTTACGTTACCTAAATTCCTGGTTCTGGTCCTCGTCACTCTCCTATTCCTTTGGGCTTCGGTGGCCACGGCGATCAGAACGATCACAGCCAGAAGAGCCAAAGTCAGTCGCATTTCAATGTCTAGTTCACTTGCCAATTGCGGTTTTCTACTTTTATACTACCCCATATTTGTTTTTAATTTGTGACCTTGGTAGTTATTTACCTTTCCTCCTTTCTTGTGGGCAAATAAATCTATTTGAATTGAACGCATTGCTACCCAGTCTTAATTCATTCCACATGTTATTAAATTCTTTCGCATTTGTGTAAATATTTCTTAATCTAATAATCATTAAAAAACTCAATTATCACGTCACGTGTGTGCATTAGAAATATTATCAAAATTTGCTGTTTAAATAAAAGGAAGAGTTCAGCATTCTTCATCGAGTTTTAAAGAATATACTTTTAGGCTGTTCATAAAAAGCTTAAATTGCTTTTCATTTCATTTTATTTAGTAATCATTGGATACCATTCTTTATGTTATATGTATATTTAAATCTATTTTATAGATTTAAATTTTTCTAGCGCCGCCTTGCGTAGGGTTTTCCCATTATGATTGGCTGGGATTTCATCTGTGAACCGAACTCCAGCATGAAGGTGTTTGTAGTCTGATGGAATTCGCTTGGCCACATGATCAATAACATCCTTGGCAGTTAAAGAGGATCCCTCTCGCTTTACAATAAGAGCACCTGCCAAGTATCCCGATTGCTCATCGTAAATTCCGACAACACATACTTCACGCACATCTTCAAGCTCTGATATTATATTTTCGATCTCAGCGGGCGAGTAATGTATGCCTTGGTTCTTGAGAGTATCCTTGCTTCGATCGACTATATAAAGAAGGTTCTGATCATCGAAGTAGCCCAGATCTCCAGTGTGGAACCAGCCGTCGGAGTCCTGCATGCGAGCCGTCTCCTCGGGATTTCCAAAGTATCCTTTCCAAATCATACCCGTGTGTGCAAATATTTCTCCAACTTGGTTGTGCTCTAAGTTTTGCCCGTTTTCATCCACAATACGGATTTTCACACCTGGCACTGGCTCCCCAGCGGCTAATCTGCTTTGAATTCCAAAAGCTCTAGCTATATTACCCGATTCTGTCAGCGCATAAGCGTTCGTTAAAATCGCGTTCTTGAAAAGCTCCTGACCTTGTTGCCATTTGGATGGGGTCAACCGTCCTCCACCGAAGATCAAAATTCGAACGGTTGAAAATGCATCCGGGGAAATCGTGGGACAAGCAGTCAGAATCGAGAAATGTTGTTGTTGGAGGAAGAAGGTGTTAATGCTGTACTTTTCAGTGAGATGTGCTATATGATGCGGCTCGAAAGGACTGTTACTGATGATTCGGGTGCTGCCTCGCAAAGCAGTGCTGAGAAACATGTGTATTCCGGATAGCCAATCGAGTGCACTTATGTTGAAAAGTACAGTCTCGCTGTTCGTTTGGCCAGCCTTCAGTAGCCTCTGGTTAGAGATGCAAGCAGATTTCGGAGGACCAGTTGTACCCGAGGAGCAGATTATTACCGCCGTTTGTTGGCCGCCTTCCTTTAAGGATTCTGGTCTGAAAATCATAAGAACAATATAAAAACAAGAAAGGAAGCTAGCTTCGGCAAGCCGAAGCTTATATACCCTTGCAGTCATCAAATATTTCGAAAATTTTATTTGCTATTCAAGAGTCGTTAGAAAACTCTATATTCCAAAAATCATGATTTTCTGATAAGAAATAACAATGTTATCATTTTATTTCCGTTAATTCTATATAGATTTTTCGATCTTTCTTATGGCAGCTATATGATATAGTTGTCCGATTTTTATGAAATTTTTTTTATAAATCAAGGCTAGTTAAAAAACTTGATACTCAAAAAATCATGCTCGTGGGATAAAAAACAGCGATGCTATCAATTTATTTCCATTAATTCTATATATATTTTTCGATCTCTCCTATGGCAGCTATATGATTGAGTTATCCGATTTTGATCAAATTTAATCTGAAATTCAATAACAGTTGGAAAACGCCATCTTGAAGAATTCAAGTCGATCTGATGAAAAACAACGGCGGGAGAATTTTTCATTTCATTCCCTCGTATGGGAGCTATCCGATATAGTCGGCCGATCCGGCCCGTTCCGACTTATATACTGCGTGCAATAACTACACACCTTTTGGGAAAGTTTCAGCAAGATAGCTTTAAAACTGAGAGACTAGTTTGAAGAGAAACAGACAGACGGACAGACGGACAGACGGCCAGACGGACAGACGGAAAGACGGACAGACGGACAGACGGACAGACGGACAGACGGACAGACGTACAGACGTATTCTGATTCTACTCGTGATGCTGATCAAGAATATATATACTTTATGGGGTCTGAGGTGTCTCCTTCACTGCGTTGCAAACATCTGACTGAAATTATAATACCCTTTTGCTCTGCAAGGGTATAATAAGTTATATTACAGGTTAAATATGCTTACTGGTAAAACCTTTCCGTTGAGGTGGGTTCCAAAAGGCTTTCAATGCTTGGAACGCCGTTCATGTGATCGGTTATAGTTATTATCTCAGGTTGCCATTCAATGGTGGCTGCTCGAGTCTTCTCATAAACTTTTCCATCGCAGAAAATCAACTTCGGCTTGGTTACGGAAAAAATATTTCTTGTGGTATCTGTAAAATAAAAAGTTTTTTGTGAATAGTAAAGGGGCTGTATAAAATTAGTTTTGCAAACCTTCATCCAGAACTAAATGAGGAGAATGAAAGGGTGTTCCGTTTAGCAGACACGCCACCGCGAGAGGAAATAGGTAGGTTGAGTTTTGGGCCACAATACCAATAACATCCTTATGGGTTAGTCCTCGGCTTTTAAAGGACTGCGCTATTCGAATTGCCCAATTTAGAGCCTTCTCATAAGTCAGTGTCACTCCGTCGCTGTCATTTATCTTAATGGAAATAGTTAAAATCTTCTATTTTTCTTTAACAGCTGAAACTCACCTGGCACACGTTCTTTGGCCAATTTCTCATATTATCGAATACAACTTCTCCCACAGAAGTATCGTCATTGTAAAGGGATTTTTGTTGCGGTCCACTCCATATTCTTTCCTTCTCATTATAAATAACTGAGGGTTGCGCCATTACTCGATAGCTTTGTACGTTCTATTCTCCGTCGAAAAATATGAACAACTGGCCCAAAACACCAACATACCTAGATCATTTTTATAGCCGATTTAGTGTTTTACAATGCTAACTTTATGAGGAAATTCCATCCAAACATGACAAACATTTTAAGCAATCTTGCTGGATTTTCCACTTCTACAAGGTCGGGGCACTTCGATGAGAAAACCTCGGCAGTGAGCCGCATCCACCTTTCGATAGACTGCAATGAAATGGCTTAAAATATATATTTCTTTCAGATCTGGAGCTTCTCTTACTCATCACGTTGTCACAGTTGCTTAGTTGTCGTTTGCAGTCGTTCTTGAAAGCCTGACAGATGTTGGCTTTTCCCAAACGAGAGCAACTTCTTGTGGAGGAAGTGCAGGTCTTCAGGACATTTTGACGACAAGCTTGGGATCTGGGAGATTTTGTATTAGAAATACTTAGTACTTCACAAACTGAACATTCTAACCCTTTATTGGTGTTGTTGCCGGAAGCAATCAGAAAAGATAAAGCCACCAGAATGATACAAAAGAAGAATGATGCTTTCATCGTGCTTTAAATTTAAATTTAATTTAAATGAACCATTTGCTCATCTGGGGTTTTATACCAATCCAACTTAGTTGGTTTTTCTAAAACGATAAACAATTTGCTCTGCTAATATACATAATAAAGCGAAAAGTCAGCTGAGCCAACAATGATTTATAATTTGAATTCGATTTCGCGGGTTTTGCCTTGAGTATTTTATGTTTATTTTACTATTTTAAATCAATATTTATTAGGTCTAATAAAGTCTTTGGGGAATCGGCTGTTCACAGAGTATACATTTATTTACCTTAAAAAAAAAGAAATATTAGTACTATTTAACATAGCAAACAGAACCCAGTTAAACTTTAAGGTTTTTTGTGGTATCTAAATAGTTAAAAACCCTTCAGATTAATAATATATGAACAAACAATTATTCAAATAAATTTATATTCCTATTAAATAACAAATCTTTGTTTCTGATTAATTTAAATATATTTTATTAACATGAGTAGGAGTCAACCCCTGCGTACGATAATTGGAATAACATTTGCTGTCGATGATGATGAGGAGGATGAGGATGAGGACGAGGATCCGCCGCAGATTCCTCGGGATCCCACACTGATTCCGGAGCACTGGGACAGACTGACCGTCGTGTAGGAGGTGGAGCCTACGCAGGAGGTGTACCGCATGGTGCAGCTGTTCTTGAAGCGATTGCACAGATTCGAGCGGCCATACTTGCCACAGACATTCACCGTCGAGTTCCAGTCGCAGTTTTGCAGGACACAGACTTTCGGCGATGAACTGGCGCTCAAACAGCTGGGAATAAAGCAACAAATAACTGACAGGATAAACAGGACTGTCGACACACGCAGCACGCTTTTCATTTTGCTCGGGTTTTGACTACGGTCTTAACTGCCATTTCTCTTAAGAGCCCGGACTATTTATAGTGGCTCGAGTTTTTTCTTCTTGGCCAAGTCCAATGGCTTCGGCACTCGGCACCTGTGCAAACGTAAAAAGATATGGTGAGAGTTTGGCATTTGGCATTGGCAGATGAACAAAACGTGTGAGAAAGACACCTTGGGTGGTCTTGGTCCATTGCCACTGGCTTACGTGAACTGCTATGAAGTAGTCTAAAAATAGTGAGCTAAAGGTCAATTCGGAATTTGAACTTTCTGTCTAAAACATACATTTTATAAATACATACTCTATCAGGCAGGCTCCGGTTTTCACTTTCACAAGATTCTCTCGTTTTCGTTTTCAAAAACGAAAATTGGTGCTCCGGTTTTCACTTTCACAAGAATTTTTCGTTTTCAAAAACGGTCAAGTTTTTTTTGTCGAAATGAAAAGTAAATGCCTTTTTCTACATCAAAACGGTTCCTAATTTCAAAAGGAAAAAAATAGATGACTCCTTGGTCTATTGATGTTCATTTCACATCATCAGTAGGTCAATCTAATTCGTATTTATTTTTTAAATAATTATTTTCTGACCCCACCTTGATTTCATACATAAAATATTTGCCGTCGGCAACAACAAATTTCGTTTTGCTAAAGGCTCGATAAATCTATTGCCAAAGTTATCGTTAATGCTGCCGTACTTGTAGTGGAACGAAACAACCACTTAAAAATACTTATAAATTGAAAACGAAGAAAAAAATATTTGTAAAGAATAGTCAAATAAGCTTCTTATAAATAAATATGATTAATTTTCTTTCTTAAATGGAAAAAGTGCAGTGAAAAAGTTGTTAAGAATAGTGGAATGAAAACTGCAAAAAAGGTGGCAGCCCCTTATTATGGAAAACAGCTGATTTCTGATGGTGGCTTATTTGAAATTTTTGAAAATGTAAGTAAGACAACTTAATTTACCGATCGTCAGACATATTAAAAACACATGTTTTGCATCTAAGATGTCTCGATTTTCTTAAATAAATCAATTTCTGCCTTCTTTTGGCTTCAAAACAGGCAATTGAAAATATAAAAGTCATTTTTTCGCGTTGTTTACTTTTGACCAAAAAAAGTCAGCTGTTTGAACAATTCCGATAACGAAACGATGACAAAAAGTTTGTGAAAACCGGAGCACCAAAAACGAAAACGTACGTTTTCGCCCAAAAACGAAAACGAAAAAAAAAAGTGAAAACCGGAGCCTGCCTGTATATAAATCTTTTCTTATCTTACCCACTGTCAGTTCATTAATGAGTTACTGAATTTAATAAGCATTTCATGAATATGTAAAATCAACTTTCCTTAAATTTGTTTCAGTGAAAGTCTTTAGGGGTATTGTTTATATGCCTAAATACATAAAGTGGTTTACTAGACATACGTATACGTAATCTACACGTTATTTTAAACGCACCCCACAAGTATGCAATTAAATAAATAAATGTGATAAAATTGTGAAGACGCTTTAACCTTTCTTAAAAATGTTAGTATTAATTAATATAAATCTCAGTACATTGTTCGTATTGTATTTACATGTTTGTATTATTTGTATTGTTCTTTTAGTTTCCATTTAATTTAAATAAAAGTAAACACAATTAGGCCTAGTGAGTCCAATTAATAAAAGTAATTACTCCTTGTTGAAATTATAAATAAAGCTCAAACAAAATGCGTTTTTCCCAACTCTTGTATTTTTTCCCAATGCACTCAGAAGTGCGTGAAGCAAAAAAAAAAAAAAAAAATAAACCAATTGAAAACAATCAGTGTGCACTTTGTACTTTTTGCTCTTTACAATCGAGTGCTTTGTTTTTGTTGTATTGCTTTTTGTTAGTTTACTTATGCCATAAACGCATTTTTATTAAACGCCGTTGACGGCATTGTTAAGTGATTTTTGGTCAAGGCCGCAAATCAGTTTCGTTAATTGGCTTTGGATTGATTTTTTTTAAAGAGCTCTTACTTTACCCACTTCTCTGCTTATATTTTTTGGGAGCTATTTCTCGGAATTAAAGTTGGCTTCTAAGCGCAATCAGCGAGGTATTTGTGGAAAGAAACCGTTTAGAGTTTGGCAATTTACCAGCCGCAGTAATAATGCAAATTTATGCATTATTTTCTGAACGATTTCGTGTGTGCGTGTCGCGCGGTGTTTACAGTTTAGCCGCAGGCTCCAAGCCAAGTCAAGCATCCATTTAGGCCAGCAATTAGTTGCCCATTGAGTCGATAACATGTCTAAGTCATCATATCGCACAATTCTGCTTGCCTGGCCAACTATGTCAACTGTTCATAATGTGTGGGTAGTGAAAAGTTTGCCGCACTTTCTATTGATTCGATGTGACTTCGCCTTATGAATGGTGGCTTAAATGGACTGTGATTGAATGGACGCTCTATTAAGTAAATTCGAGCTTAATGAATATCTATGGCTTAATGGTTTCCTCTTTTTTTAGAAACAGGTTACAGCAGTTTTACTCTTTAAAGGGCTTCAATTCATAGATTTATTATTAGCGATAACGATTAAAAATCGATTTATTTTAATAGTAGCTTTGTGTCAATATAATTAAGTTCATTGTTGTATATCTTTAATCATTCTCATTTAAAATGGTTTTGAAGATAAAACTTTAATTAAGCTCGTATCATAAATTGAACCGAGAAACACAATCTGACGAAATTCCATAAATACGGTATGATATATCTTCCTATTAAAGTGCATTTCCCCTCGAGTGGTGTCATGACTTTGTGGGGCATTTTTAATTTTTAATGAAGCCGCTGCCCATTAATCAATTCGCCAGACTCAATTTAGCTATAGACTCTAAACAAAAGATCAATTATATAACACGGACCAGTGGCATCCCAAATCGGATCATATTAATCAGCGATTCGCTTGGTGGCAGTGAAAATTGATGAGCGCAAAAAGGAGACAAAAGACGGATAAAAGCAAAACAAAAAAACCAAGGCAAAAATCAGAGGGGAAAATGTGGAAGAGCGCAGAGTTGTGGCCTGAAGATGCCACTTGAAGTTGCGGCCAACGGGTTCGGGTTTTGGCTTTTGTCGCATTGCAGGAAGTTGCAAGTTGTCAGCGGGTTGGCCGCATTTGGCAATGGCCACTACCAGGGGATTGATGACTATTGCAGTACAGGGTATTCAGAGGTGTATTCGGTTTTAATCGAGGGTACGGATTTTTATATAAAATATTATATGTTATTATGAGAATTTAATTCAATTTAATGGAGTAACTATATTTCTTTTAGAAAGGTAACTATAAGTGCATTCAAAATAGAGGTATGTAGACATAAAAAAAAATTCCTTTCATTTTTGCATCTATCTATCTTTTCACATAGAGTTTAATCATTAACTATTGATAAATTAAATAATACAATTAATTTCAAATACTGAATATATATTTTCACATAAAGTTAGGTATTGATTAATTAAAATATACAATTAAATTCAAATACTGATTAATGAGACATTGGTAACCTTTTTGCGTAGACTTTTACACCTCAAATAAATAGCCAATAAAATGGGTAGCAAAAAGTGCATTGGAATGTAAAGCTGTTACTGCCTTAAGGAGATCTCTATTTGATTGCTGGCGCTGCAATCAAAATTATTTAATTCGGATGCGGCAAATGAATTTGCAGGCTGCAGTTCGCGTGATGCTGCCAATGCGGCAATCACCGGCGACTGCGCCCCCGTTTAACAGTAAATCGGAAAGCGGCAGCTTTAGTTTCAGTTGCAGTTTCAGCTTCAGATTGAGTTAAAGCTAAAGCTACAGTATCTTGAACAACAACAAAACTTTCACTTTCGACCGCCTTCGCTTCGTCTCGTTTCATTTTGCCCAAGTCCGTCGTCGGTCCGCTCGCCATTTTCGCTGTTTTCGGGCAGGTCAGTTTCGGCCTGGTTAGTTGGTTGCTGTTTCTACTGTTTCGACTCTTTCGACTCTTTCGACTATTTCGGCTTTGGCTCGCTGGATGGTTGAGTGCATTTTCGATTTGGTCTCCTGTAATCAGTGGGCTCTCGTTGTTGTTGTTGTCTAAGAAAATGTTGTAATATAATTTTAATTTGTACCCAGAAATGATTGCCAATTGGCCGCTGCCTAATGCTGATTATACAATGTTTTATTTTCCTCGAAACGAAAGTGTTTCGAGCGTTTAAAGCGCGGCTAATACCTGGCTCCCCAAATACATATCCGAAACACACAATTTGCTGCAATTATTTTTCGTGTCTTGGCCTGGCGTGTAGCATTAGATTTTCGGATCTGATTGACCCGGGGCGGATCACTGAGCAGGGGCACTAAACGTGGCCATAAGCGATGGGCAGGCCCCACACTGAAGGTCCGAGGTCTTCAACTTAGTTAGGCTTCGAAAATAAACAATGGCTTGATGATAGCCGAAAGGCAAGTGTATGGACACTGGGGGAAAAATAAGGGGAGTATTCAATTTATCAATGGATTTTATATAATAAATAAATGTAACATAGTTAATAAACAAGTTACGCTTCATATAATTAAATGGGAGAGACACAATGGTTGGGAAAGATTAAACAATTTACTTTAGTTAAAATATCTAATTATAATTTATATAAAATCAATGTTATATACTTCTGTTTTTAACATATTAAAAATAAGTATAAATGCCTTTGTGAAGTAAAGAAATTAAACTTAAAAAATCCATAAATAAAACATATTAATGTGGAACATTTAATTGAAAAATAGGATATAAAACTTATAATAATTTTTTTTTACAGTGCATCTAGGCCTATAGACATGAGCCCTGAGGAAATCCCAACAAAAAACATGCAAAGCGAAGCGCGCATGCGTGAGGTCGTCGCACTTAAATGTCAAACGGTTCGGTGCTCTAATGAGAGCCCCCGAGCAAATCCCCACTCCCCAAAAAAAAAACCGAGCAACCGAGAAACCAAAGACCCCTGTCGAAGATTGGTCAATTGGATCTGGCCAAGAGGC